GACAAACTGAGAAAGGAGTGAGATAGAGATAGATAGAAAGAAAGAAATTAAAACAGCAAAATAGAAAAGAGAGAAAGAGAGGAGAGAGAGAGAGATAGTGACAGTAAAAGAAGAGAAAGACATATGTTTGAATTATCAGATCCATCTTACAGGTTTATTGAAATTTGAAGGGAAGGATTCTTCAATCAACGAAAAGACGACGCAAACAAAAGGAATTTTTATTAACGCTATTGTTACATTTCGTTAGTCAAGTCAGTCTCCAAGCTAAAAAATTGAAACAATAACAATAATATTAAATTATTCAAAATACAAAAAGACTGGCAATGAACAAATGCAAACAAGAATTATAAAATAAAATAAGAACAAAATAAATAAAAAAGCTTAAATATCGTAGATATGCTATAAACTTATTAACCCCATTAACCTAATGCCATAAATGCAGCTATAACTGCTGCTTCTAGTACCACAGCCACAACTATTATAACCACTACTACAGTTTTACTACTACTGATACCACTAATATTATTAAAACATTAAATTTGATATGAACGGGCATTTGAATTTGATGTAGAGATTAATTTTCAAATTAAAAGTCTATGCATAAAAAAGCTATGATTATTTTATCTGGGGTTATTGGAGTTCAATACCCATTCTTAGATATTTGACAATTTGTGAAATTGAAATTAGCTAAATCATTGTTTTTTTAAAATTAACAAAAAAACTATATTTATTTTATCTGGGGTTTTTGGGGTGCTTTAAGAAACCCCACCCTCCTTAGATATCTGACAATTAGTGGAGTGCAAGTTAGTGTAATGCCAATCCTCACCGGAGCAAAAACTTTGTGGACGGCATACGAGATGACAAACGTGCTGGCCCCTGTAGCCAAGCGAGATTCCAGGATCGACTTTCCAACTCCGAGCCATGATAGCCAAGCGACAACATCCAGACCACTGAATTAGGGATTGTAATAATTAAAGAAATAAATAACAGGGCTTGGGATGTGATAGGTGGAATGTATTAATGTGAATTATACAGATGAATAGTAAAAATTAAAAGAGTCTTAAATAATTTATTAAATAGTATTTTTTATAGTTAGTATTTTAAAAAGATTGTTTCTCATCTGGTATTATATATAATATTCATTATACTAGTTAATTAAGTAAGTTATGGTATAACCTAGATACAGCAAGATAGCAGATACCAAGTGAAGCCAAAGAGATAGTGACATGAAAGATAACAACAGTTGAACCGTAATCCCGGACTGCTAGTTTCAACCTTTGTCTCTGAGTTAGTGCCACCAAATTTTCTGGGTTTTTTTGAAAATTAGGAATAGGAGTTTCATTGGCCTCCTCTTTTGGTTTGTCTTTTTGAAAAACTGTTATAGATGTGCTCGTTTGATTCATATGAGATGTTCCTAATTGCCTAATATCAGAGATTTTTAGGTCATTTGTCACTGTGCCAAACGGAAACATTTTTATTCCGGGCACTTTACAGCATGTTAACGATGAAGATGTCACGTGCTGGGAACGATTAGTTAGATGTTTAAAATCATTAAATAGATTTATTTTTAAATTATTTAAAAATTTAAATCTTAAATTTATAATTTTGATCATTTTTTTTTCACAAAGGCCTCCCAGAGCACGTATCAAAGTTGAAAAACCCAAAACTTGAGATTAGTCTGATGTTTGAAAATCAATCAATTCTATGGAAAAAGAAGATGATTTTATAACAAACTGAAACATCGTTTTGTGAAAGGACCAAAATTAACAACAAAAATAATGGTGCATAATGATAATCTTTTATTGCTTTACATTAAAAAACACATTTAATCTTTATATAAGCCCCGAAGTAAATTATAATGCTTATTTGCATAGAAGTTCTGTGTTTCTCGGTCATTATCTTTTTCTGCCTCTCTCTGTCTGTTTCTATCTTCGCTTGATCTCTTTCTCTGTCTTAGTCTCTCTGTTTTTCTGTCATTGTTTCGCATCCTCTTCCTCTCTCGGTCTCTCTCTCTCTCCCTCTCCCTTCCTCTCAGTCTCTATCCATCTGTATCTGTCTGTCTGACTTTGTCTCTTTCTCTCTTTTTCTTTCTCTCTCTTTCTCTCTCTCTCTCTCTCTATCTCTCTCTCTATCTCTATCTATCTATATATCTATCTATCTATGAGCATACTTATTTATTTTTATTTGCAATAATAATAAAAATATGATTCTTCATTTCGCCATGACAACCCACGCTGATCATGTAATGCTTTATCAGATAAAATTTGAACGAACGAATGAATTAACGAATGAACGGCAAATGAATGAATGAACGAATGAATGAATGAACGAATGGATGGATGAAAAGAGGGTATCATACCAATGATGAGTGGATGAATGCGAAATAGTCGTAGTTGATTGATAACTTTATCAATATAATTATGTTTTAAGAATAATAATAATAATAACGAAATAATAATAATAATAATAATAAACTTTCTTTAAATTCATTGATGAAACGGATTATGCAACGGAGAATTAATATTGGTCGTTTAAAATGGTTGTTATAAGAGTAAAGAAGCGGATAGTTTCCCTGGTTTGTTCATTAATCCTAATTAATTAATTAACTAATTTATTCATTCGTTCGTTCGTTCATTCATTCATTCATTCGTTCGTTAATTTATTACTAATTATTGGTTATCAATGTTATTGAATGAAATTTTAAAATATTTTTGCCGATAAATGGATGGAGGTTTGGATGAATGAATGGAGGAAAGAATGAGCGAATGAATGCACAAACGAACGAATGAATTAACGAATGAATGAATAAATTTATTATTAATATTATCATGATTTTATTATTATTATTATTTTTGATTTATAGAAAGAACTAATAGACGTCGACGGTCTTTTTTTAGATTACGTAGAATTATACTTGAGAACATTGGTTAGTTTTTTTTAACCAGCTCTACTACTACTACTACTACTACTACTACTACTACTACTACTACTACTACTACTACTACTACTAGGTACTACTGCTGCTACTACTACTACTACTACTACAGCTGCTACTACTACTACTACTACTACTACTACTACTACTACAGCTGCTACTACTACTACTACTGCTGCTACTACTACTACTACTACTACTACTACTACTACTACTACAGCTGCTAATATTACTACTACTACTGCTGCTGCTGCTACTACCTCTACTACTAATAATAATAACAATAATAATAACAATAATAACAACAACAACAGTTAGATTACAATAATGAAATCACATCAAATAGCATTGAAGGTACCAGCACCGCTAACAACCCTTTCGGAAGATGTCTCAGAAATTCAGTTGGATTAATAACTATTTTTAATATTATTATTGTTGTTATTATTATTACTGTTAGTTTTGCTGTTGTTGTTGTTGTTGTTTAGACATTAATATTGTCCATTCCTACACTCAAAATGACGTCATCGATCAACCGCTGTCGTTGTTGTTACCATAGTAAATCTCATTTCACTGATCGCTATTTTTCACCAACAGCTCAAAACTGATCCGGACTTTTTGGAGACGTTCAGGGACGTATATTTAGAATCTTTCTTTGGGTCCAGCCTATATTTAGAATACAGATTGTGTTCTTTACTATCCCAAATGAATATTTTGAAAAAGAATTCAGCAAAACCGGAAGTCGATCACGATATAAATGGCGATAACACGGAAGGAAAAGGTAGTGATAGTGAAAAAAGTGAGAGTACGCTAGGAAAATATAAAGATAATGGTAAAATCGGAGAGAGAATTGTTGACGGTAGTGATACTATCTTTAAAAGAATAAACCTATCAGACGCTATTATTTACGATCTGCAATTGAATAACAACAATAACAACAACAACAATATTAATAATAACAATAATAATAATAAAAACAATAATAATAATAATGATGATGATGATGGTGTCGACGATGATAACGATGGTGAAATCATATTCCTCATCGAAATCGGCGAAAGTAAAGATGATGGAATGTTTTATTACCATGTAAAGCAGTTTAATACTACTACTGCTGCTGCTGCTGTTACTTCTACTACTACAACTACAACGGCTGCAATTACTAATACTACTTTCACCACTAGTAGCTGTAGTACTACTACAACTGCTACTACAAGAGTAGCAAATAATGTTACTGCAGCTACTTCTACTACCACTACTGCTGCTGCTACTATTTCACTGTCATCCAAACTACAAGAAATTATAAAAAACCGAAAAGCACTAATTAATATTCATGAGGTCAAGGACTATTATAATTATTTGCCCCGTGACCTTGCTCGGCCTTTGTGGCGGTTCTGGATCAAAGTTCAAAGTTTGCTTGGTGGTCCATGGTGTGAGAATGCAAGAAGAGAAGACAATGAGTACGGATGAATGGATGGGTGGATAAAATGAATGAATGAATGAATGATTGATTGAATGAATGAATGAATAAGATAATGAGTGAGTAAAAAGTGAATGAATGAATAAAAGAACGAACGAACGAATGAAGCTAAATACATCCAAATTTTACAGATCCTTCAGAGACCTCCTAACAAATCATCGCTACACTCAATGCCCAAGGCTAGCCAAACTATTAACAAAAAACAATAATAACATCAATAATAATAACTTCAATAATAATAATAACAATGACAACAACAACAACAACAACAATAATAATAATAATAATAATAATAACAACAACAACAACAACAATAATAATAATAATAGTAATAATAATAATAATAATAATATCAACAATAATAGTTTGATGGGAGCAGACTTGCAAATGATTGCTGATAACGTTCTGTCCATTATTCTGATTTATTGGTTAGCTAATATAATAATAATAATAATAATAAATATAAATTATAGTAATAATAATTTTTTTGAAGGACTCCCAGATATTTACTGCATAAGATGTCAAGCAATGGCGATGACATCATTAATAATAATAATAATAATAAATATAGTAATACTACTACTACTGCTACTGCAGCTACTGCTGCTGCTTCTACTACGACTTGTAGCAGTAGTAGTAGTACTGAATTGTGCATTGATGATGATGTTCTGAGTAATTTCATTGAGAGATGCTGCTATGATCATTACAGCAACATCATCAACAACAACAACGAAAACATCAATAATAACAACAACAACAATAATAACAATAATAAAATTCTAAGAGCTCTATTCATTGATAATCACATTGGCAACCTAATCAGGCAATACATTATAAACAACAACAACAACAACAGCAATAACAACAACGACAACAATAATAATAATTTGAACGTTTATGAGTTCATTCAAAGTTGCCTTATGTGGAAAGATAATAATAACGCAGATATGTCCGAAGCTTGGGTTCGTTTGAATGTATGAATGAAGGAGCGAATGAATGAACGAATGAATGAACGAATGAATGAACGAATGAATGATTGAATTAATGAGTTTATAAAGTAATGAGTGAACGAATGAAGGCATAAACGAATGGATGAATAAATCATTGAATGTGCGTACAGCATGTTTGTATGTATAAGAAATAGATGAATGAAAAAAATGAATGAATGAATGAATGAACGAATGAACGAACGAACGAACGAACGAATGAATGAATGATCATTTCTAATAGGCGATCTACACAAAATACCTCAGTAGCAACGCGAGTCAAAAAATCGGCGCTATATCAAGCGATCTTCGAAACCGTCTATCCGACCGAATAAAAATGGACCCGCTACCGATTACATTGTTTGATGACGTAATCACTGACGTCATTCGTGATTTGAAAGAACCGCTAGATGGCTGGGTGGATGAGAACCGAAAACATTGGACCGATATGGTAATGATGGTGATGACGACGACGACGATGACTACGATGATGACGACGATGATGATGACGATGATGAGGATTACTGATAATGATGAGTGTATTATTACAGTTTTAATTGTTAGTGTTACTTCTCTTTACTTTGCAGCTTTTAAAAATGAAAAACATATCAATGCTAGAGCATGGAACCAACACAAACGTTAATAATAACAATAAAGATATTAATAATAATAATTATTATTATAATAATTATGATAATAATAATGGCAATACCGAGTTAAAATCATCAAAATTATTTTCCATACCGAAACGCAAACCGCTCCTCAAATCCAACGACGATTACCTTCGCTATCTCAACTCTCTACTCGAAAACGAAACTGAGAGTAAAATTTTTTTGAAATTTCTGCGAGAAAACCGAGCGGGTTTCGATATCTATTTTTGGAAAGACGTTGAAGATTACAAATCCTGTCGTAATAAAAATTTGAAAGCAGACAAAATTTTTGATTTGTATGTGCACGAGGGCGGGTACCTTCTAGAGGAATACGGAGACCTCATTAAGAAAGATATGGAAGAGGTGATGATGACGATGACGATAATGTGCTGCTGCTGCTGATGATGATGAAAATAATGATGAGGATGACGACGATGATGATGATGAGGAAAATAATGATGATGATGATGACAACAATGATGATGATGACGATGGGGAAAATTGTAATGATATATTAATGTTTTGTGTGCAATATACTAATGACGTCACACACACACGCACGCACACACACACACAAACACGCACGCACACACACACAAACACGCACGCACAGATATTCAAGGAGACAGTCGAATTGAACCCGGCTCTTATGGCACAGAAAGACATAGAAGAATTTTTATTGAAAGCTCAAAACGTCGTTTTCAAAAAACTAAAAAATACCTGGATACCGGCTTACATCAAACGAATTTCAACTACTACTACTACTGCTACTACTACTACCACTACTACTACTACTTTTACTGCTACTACTACTACTACTGCGGTTGATAATAATAATGACCAACAAAATGCTACTATTGTTGGAACTAATTACGATTTAACAACAACAACATCAACGTCAACAACAACAACAACAATGCAACAAAAATCAATTATGACGTCATCAAGACGCAAAATTTCGACGAATTCTAACTCGACCGTAATCTACTTTATCACGTTTAACTATTTAACTTTATTTTTTCATTATTATTATTACATTTAATAATTATCTTGCTATTATAAAAACACCACCTCCAATTTCATTGGCTATTTCAAATATTCCCCGTCCAATCAGAACTCAGACAGGAAACAGCTAGCGGCCAATAGCGTTGCAGAAGCCAGTTTAAAAGAAATCCTATTGGACGAGAAAATGATGACGAAATTTATTGACTTTCTACAGAGTAAAGATGATGACGTCACCGTCATTACTAATTACAGCAATAATAATTATAATAGTTCTAATTATAGTAACGCTAATTATAGCAATGATGTCATTAGATGGATTGCTGACGTGAAGTTTTTGGTTGAAGTTTTCAAGTTCAAGGTTAACAATGATAATGATAATAATAAATAATAATAATAATTAATAATAATAATATTAATGATTATATAACATCGTTTAATGTATCACGCTCTAATCATATGAAATGATGATGACGACGACGATGATAAAAATGTTGATAATAATAATTATTATTATGAAATGTTCATGGATTCCTTTACTTACAAACTCACTCATTCAAACACACATTCACTCGCTCACTGATTCACTCATTCACTCACTCACTCATTCACTCGCTCACTCATTCACTCACTCACTCACTCAAACACACATTCACTCGCTCACTCATTCACTCACTCACTCACTCAACCACACATTCACTCGCTCACTCATTCACTCACTCATTTGCTCATTCACTCACCCAAACTTAACCAACCAACCAATCAGAAATTATGCCTTAACACGTCAACAAAGACGTTGATAAACCTGAAAGGTGATGCCATTGTAGACTGTTATATCGACTCAAAAATCTTCTCATCGCCTCCAGTCTCCATATCCATTGATACGGATCTAGCTGACAGAATAGTTAACCGGAGGAAGGATTTTAACGTTAACACTTTTAAAGAAGCTGAGGTTATTGCAGTAGTGATGTTGTTGTTGGTGTTTGTTGTTGTTGTTTGTTTGTTTGTTGTTGTTGTTTGTTGTTGGTGTTTGTTTGTTGTTGTTGGTTTTGTTGTTTGTTTGTTGTTGTTGGTGTTTGTTTGTTGTTGTTGTTTGTTTGTTGTTGGTGTTTGTTTATTATTGTTGTTTGTTTGTTGTTGGTGTCTGTTTGTTGTTGTTTGTTGTTGTTGTTGGTGGTTGTTGTTGTCTACTTACAAATTAATAGTATCTTTCTTCATAGACAACGATATAAATACTGTTTATGATATATCAATGACATCAACAGAGAGTATAACATCAACAACAACAACAACAACATAGACATCAACAATAACAACAACATCTAATACAACATCAACATAGACATCATCAACACCATCAACAACAAAATCTATACAACATCAACAACATCAACAACAACACAGACATCATCAACAACAACATCAACAACAGCGCGCAATTATCCTAGAACTTTCGAAACATCTCGATGAATTCCAACATTACCTGAATCATGCAGACGATGTTGACAAGAGCTGCGAAGTCGATTTCATCGCCTTGCTAAAGCAGCGGAAAAAAACGCTCAACGGCAACTCGAAACAGGTTAAGCAGACGTACACACACACACACACACACACACACACACACACACACACACACACACACACACATATTTACACACACCACACATACACATTCACACACAGTCAAACACATATCAAATATTCCAGAAAAGATCTAAAAACAAATGGTCGTCTACATTTCACCAAAGGAACGCCAACAACAACAACAACGAATCAAATAATGATGACGTTGAAAACAACAACAACAACAATAATTACTTATTTTCATGGTCCTATGGCAATCATATGGCCACATTGTTGGATGTCGAGAAAGTTAAAATTAAGCGTCTAAGAGGCGTTAATAATAATTAAATAATAATTAAATAAATAAATAATAACAAAACATATGATAAATAATTAGTTTTTTTATCGACAAGTTAATTTTTTCAAAAACAAAAACTAAATGTTTTAAACGGAAGATCACTTTTTCCATAATTGATAATTTACTTTTGAGTGAATAAATCATTTTTTTTCGCTATTTATTTTTGGTATTTTGAAAAAAAATAACTTTATCAAAAACCTTAGATAAACTTCAAAAACACTAGCTAAATCGTCAATATTGTAATTACTCATTAATTTATTATACAAATCATTATTATTTATTTATTTATCTATTAATAATTAATTAATTAAACAAATACGCTTACAGTTTCAAATAAAAACATTTTTTATTTTCATTTCGTCATAGTAAATAAAAAAGTTGAAAAAATCACTCCCAGACGAACAAAAAAGTTCTCAAAACCATAATAACAACAATAATAATAACAATAATAACAGCAATAATAACAATAATAACATTAATGGAATCTGGAATGTTATTCAAAGGTAGAGATTATGATGATAATAAAATAAAAACCAAGATAATATTGTAATGAAATCACACGTATCACCACACACACGCACACAAACACACACACAAACAATAACGACTAGAACTTAATACCGGATAGACAATAATACAAACTATAAAAAACATACATAATTATATATATATATACATACATACATACACATGAATATATATATGTGTGTGTGTATGTTAATATTTCAGAATATTTCTGTCAGTAATACTACAAACGCTACTACTAATTCTGCTATTACAACGACAACAATGTTGATCATGGTAGAGACGATTATGAAGATGATTGTTGCAAATATATACGCTCACTTACTCTCTTTCCTTATATATATATGTGTGTGTGTGCGCGCGCGTTGAAAACAAACGAATGTAAATATTAACAATTCAAGGAAAGCGTGTATAACAAGTAAAAATAATAATAATTACTAATATTTTTGTTGTTTATTATCTGAAAAAAAAAGAAAACTGTGCGCTATAGTTTTAGTGGGAATAAAATAAATAAAAAGAAATTCATATATATATATATATATATATATATATATATATATATATATATATATATATATACATATATATATAATACTAAATGACAATGATTAAACAAACCAATAAATAAATATATACATACAAAATCATTAAAAACGTCATTAATATATTTTATAGAGAGAGAAAGAGAGAGAGAGAGAGAATAGACGATCCTCGTATCCAATGTACAGCAACATTGTTCTTCCATTGAGAGTATATGAACAGAACAACATAAGAAACTAGAACACACGCACACTTATGCAGACAAATTAAAATGACTAGAAGTAGATAAACAAATTATAAAGCGAACAAAAAAATAGTCATGATTATTTAGCGATATTATTTTATGATAAATTAAAAACATTATCATTTTCATTAGCTGCTGTTATCCGCATAGATCCATTGACTTGAGAAGTTGGTTCTACGTAGCTATCTCTCTCTACTTGCCAGTGCAGATAAATATCCACTCCTATTACTTCTAATATTTTTCAAATTCACATTTTATACACAGATCAACTCTTAAGATATTTCATAAATTTCAGATCCTCCACTAACTCACACATTATTCATATTCTTAATCTATCATTTCTAGATAGGCATGCCAGGATTTGTCGACAATTTAAGTACAATTTTAAGGATGAATAATCCATAATCTCATTTCTTATCTCGATTCACTTTTGCACTGACATGACCTCTGAGTATGAGGGCAAGAATGAATTAGGTTCGGCCATCATGATGGTGGCGGCGGGACTGGCCGTCGATTGGGCGGGCTTCAGGAGCACCAATCTCGTCGTGATCAGTGGCTGCTGCTGTATGAAACCAATCTGTGGCTGATAGTTAAACTGCTGCTGCTGCTGAAGTAGCTGCTGTTGATGATGTTGTGGCGATGTATTCTGCTGCAGGAAACCGAACTGTTGCCGCTGCTGATCGTCAAATTCATTAGGAGCAGAAGGAACGAGTGGCCCAACAGCTGCAGTAGCAGAAGCAGCTGTCGTAGCATACAACAGTTCGTTCCCCATGGCATCAACGAGACTTCCACAGCCACCACCATTCAAAACAACGACACCATCGCCCGCTGTGTTGCCACCACCAGCAATAACATTTCCAGCTCCAGTTCGAACTGTAACATACTTGAACACCCTAGGACTGTTATCATCGCTGTTGTCCTCGTTACTGCGGCCACCAGAACTGACCACCACAGGCTGGGGAGGTTCCAGGGAGTAATCCACACCCAGGCCCGACCACTCGGCTTCCTTGCCGCTACCGCAACACCGGCCACTGCACAGCCACTTGAAGATGCAGGCTAGCATGCTGAAGAACATCGAGACCACGACCACGGCACCCACTCCATAGAAGAGGATGGTCAGGATCTGAAGGGTCTTGTTTGCTGATTGGTTGTTGGGTTGATTGAAATGTTTGCTGATTGGTTGTTGGGTTGATTGAAATGTTAAAAAATAAAATGTCAACAACAACAACAGCAACCACAACAACAACAACAACAACAGCAACAACAACAACAACAACAACAACAACAACAACAGCAACAACAACAACAGCAACAACAGCAACAGCAACTAACGTGGCTTAGTTTGATAGTAGCAGTAGAATATCTTGCTGAAGGGTCTCGGGGTCTGTGACCTCAGCAACCTTGGGTGAACCCCCCCTATGTAAAAATATGTAACAGCAATAAGAACAACAGGAATTAAAAACAAACAGACAAAAACCTTGATGGCTTGGCGTGGTTGACCTGCTGTCTGACCAATACAGCCACTCCTCACTGACCAACATACGATCTACCTGATGACGATGATGATGATGACTTTGTGATGATGTTGATAACGATGGGGTGATGATGAATGATGATGACCTTGTGAAGATGATGATGAAAAGTACGATGAAAATTTGGTGATATAAAGAAGAATTCCACTAAAAAGCAATCCAACTGACTGTAGAATAAAAAAAAGCAATTTCAATTTTGACTGATGATCAACCAATCAGCCAACCAGTCAGCCAACCAGTCATTCAGCCAACCAGCCAACCAACCAACCAACCAACCAGCCAGCCAGTCAACAAACCTCCTGGCAAACGTCTCCATATTTGATGAGAAAAAATGACGCATCACTGGGCAGTGTGATTGGATGGTAAGGGGGCCCATCCGAGCGGCAACAGTAATGGATTTCAGTGTCATGGTCATAGTCCCCCTCTGGTAAAACTCCTACAAATACATATATATATATATATATATATATATATATATATATATATATATATATCGGAATATATACATACATATATATATATATATACATAATTATACATCCATACACACACACACACACAAATACGCACACACGTGCATACAAACATAAATACACACGTGTATACAAAACAAGAACCTTTGAAGCTTTGCTTGTGATCATTCTTATTGTACCACGAGGTTGAATCATCCCATTTTATGAAACCTTCATGGAATTTGGCAGGGCAATCACCCTTCTTGAAGATACAATACTTGCCTAATTTGCGGGAAAAATATACATACGTATATACATACATAAATACAAACGGGTTCATACATACAAACATACATACATACATATATACATGCATTCATTCATACATATATATTTTTACCAATATATATATAGATATATATATATACAGAAGCCACAGAAGATACAAAAAGACAAAAAGGTCACCATTTTCCCCTCACAAAAACAACAACAGACCTGGCATCCAAGTAAAATCTCCGCCATACTGAGGGTATGACATCTTCATACAGAAATGTTGTACGAGGTACTCGGTGTACGTAGGTTCAATTCCTGCTAGATGGATAATGTCAGAGGGGTGGCTGCCCTTCTCTGTCATCTGGGTCCTGGTTCCTAAAAGAGGGGGGTGAGGTGGTTTTCGTTGTCGAAGATATTTGCTAGAAAAACTTGAAAAATTATTAAAAAATGTTTTTCAAAAGTTATTACTACTCAAAAACGAGCAAAACAATTGAAATAAATTCAATAAAATAATGTTAAACACACAAAAAGAAACAAATAATAAATGAAAAATGAATGAATGAATAAATGAAGCAAATTTTTAACCCTGCTCCCATTCATTATTAGGTCCTTCGGGGCAACCTGTAACGGGCATTGGAAGACCATAGGTACCTTCAGGCCAGGCATAAGCCACCCTTAGGTTTTCTTATTAAAAATCAATTAAATTATTTTATTTAATAGTTTTATTTATTAAAGGATAAAAATAAATTAATTAATGATTTTCAATTGCTTAATGATTAAAAACTTTCAATATTAATTGAATAATTGTCAATTTGCTTAATTAATTAAATAAAATAAATTTAGAAACTAACGACTAAATAACATGGAAGATAGAATGGTTGCCACAGCAAGCCACATCATTTCAGTGAATTGATGGAGAGATAGATAGCAAGTAGATAAGTTAAATTTCAAAATTTGATTGACAGGTCTAGATCACTAAATTAGATTTACTACAACAAACACTGACTAATCTAATGAAGCAGTCACTAATTAATTTAAATTTATTCATTGTCTATTTTAACTTCCAATGAACGTCTAACAGCTATGTGTTAATTGCTCATCCATCAGCTATCTTCCACTTCTAATCTAATCTAATCAACTAATCTTTTTTCTTCTGTTATAAATTATTTTACAATCAAACAATTAACAAAGATATCAGAGGTCAAGAATTTAATTACAATAAATAGCGACGCTGATTTCTAAACGAAATAATAATATTACATTGTCAGTAAGTTAATCTTTAATCAATATATTTTTTCTGACAGAACCCTAATCTAACCCTAACCGAAAATCTGTGCTGGTGTTTGGATGGAGAATCTCTGGAATTTGGACTGATCAGGAATGAAATCGATAATAAAATGAAAAAGTGAGTTTTAATTTTTATATATTTATAATATTTTAACTTTTTGATAAAGGTTTTTAACAAATTTATGACTAAATTAGTTTCACTAATCATTTAAAGTTCGATCTTTTCCACAACAAAGGCGGCCATTTTTAAATTGTATGATGAATTATTTTTATTGGTGTTTCTTTTTTCAAAAACTTGAATGTAGATATAATTTTTTTAACAAAAAGCCAAATTTCGTTTTGTCAGCTGGTAAATGAATATAGTAGATAAAACACAGAATTACTTGAAAAACTATATTGTTCACGGGTTTCTAGGTTTTTTTTTATTTCGGTTACATAATTTTTAAATAATTAATAATTATTTTTTATCAGTCAATATTTCGTTATATTTGTTTGTTTAAAATCCGAATTTTTTTTAAAAATGACATTTTTCAATTTTGAATGACATCAAATAAAAGCAAAATTTAAACGCCATGTGTCTTTCTTGCCTTATTAAAATCTCAAAATTGTTGTTAGGTGTTAGGTGAATGTTTTTTGGCGCTCCAGCAAACCTCACAAATATTCTAGCATTTAAATATCAAAATATGTGCATGCATTGATACATACACATACACTCACACATAACACACACATATATATACATACACTCACACACACACACACACACACACACACACACACACACACACACACACTGATTCAATTAAATGTAGACAATTTAATTTAAAAAGTGCTTATAAAATACAAACAACACAAAAAATGTCTAAGGAAAATAAAACGAACGTTAAACGAAAAATAGATAGATTAATAAACAGTTATATGCTTTCTATATATATATATTAACTATATATATAACTAATAACATTAATTAACTTCTTTATAATA